TGTGTGGGTGCATGTGTGTACAGACACTCTGTGCATGTGTACATCTGCACAGACACTCTGTGTATGTGTGCATGTGTGAGTACACACTCAGTGTATGTGTGCATGTGTATATAGACACTCTGACTTTAATAATGCTCTCAGACATTCTTTAAGTGAACTGAGGAGATGGAGTGATTAAGTGACAAAACCTTTTATTATTATTATTTTATAATTTCTTTTCTGTTGCTCAAACTTTAAAAATATATATATTTTATTGATTTTTTTTACAGAGAGGGAGAGAGAGGGACAAAGATTTAATGGGCCTCTTGCCCACCCCCTACTGGGGATATGCCCACAACCAAGGTACATGCCCTTGACCGGAATCGAACCTGGGACCCTTCAGTCCGCAGGCTGACGCTCTATCCACTAAGCCAAACCGGTTTTGGCATCAGTGACAGAACCTTTGCACACCACCACTGTGGGCGGGCACAGAGGGGTAGGAGATAAGGAGAGCAGAACTAAACGAGCACAGAGGAGCGCTCTGGGTGTCCGGGAGGCAGGACCTGGGAGGGAAGGAAACACGGCAGTCATGTTCAGACTCCGTAAAATTAGCTCCAACATCCATCTTGTGAGTCACAGACTCATTAGCCGTGGGGCTAAACGTAACAGCCTCGGATTTTCCCCAGGACGCCTGACACTGTGGTTACGAATGGCACACACGCTCTCGCACATGGGAGCCCGGGAAGATATCTCACGTGGGACGGAAAAGCTCAGGCTCTCCAAATTAGCAAATAGAAACATATAACAGCATCACGGAGCTCTCCTGTTCTGTATAGCACCAGTCCTGTCTCCGGAGGCCTTCGCTGCCAGTGTTTTAGGAGGACAAAGGACCCAATCGAGGAGCTGGGCTGTGGACTGGCATTTGGGAGGCTGGTGGGCATTTCAGACTTCCCGCACGTACCACTGAGCTGCCCCCAAAAAGCTCAGCAGCTTCTGAGTAAGACCATTTTCCCTGACAGGACAGCTGCCTCTTCAGCAGACCTGCTAAAATAGATGCCACACAACCAGCCAGGGCCCAGCACGAAACGGGGTGTCTCTAACAAAGGCTCATTGTTTGTGATCTGTTGACAGAGCCTGCCTAACTGTGCTAATAATAGGAAAATCACTTAATTTCCGCAGAAGGCAGCACTCGTGGGAAGATGACATCAAGACGAGTTAGGAACACAAGCAGGAAGCTGCGTCCCATTGCTCTGCCTGCCTCACCCAAGGACTCTCTGAGATTGTGAGATCCGCATTTCCCTGGTTAGAGACCCTCCTTCGTTCCCCCTGCCTCTCTCCCGCTTCTTTGATGGACATGTGGCTTCCGCCTTTGCTGTGTCCTGTGTGCACAGGCCACGCTGGCTTGAACCTGGCTCTCATGTCAGTGCTGAGGCACGTCTGCAGGAGCAGGAGAGGTGAACTTGCTCATGGAAAGCCAGCACAGCTTGAAAGTGGGAATCTAAGCCCCAAGCTTCCGACTAGCTTGCCATCTGATTCAGTTCGGTGGAAAATATGTCTGTTGAATACACATGATGTCAGGAGCCTTGTGCTAGCTGCCATCATGGCATTTATCTTCTGTTGTTGTTCTTATCAAAGTCATCGTTGGCTCCGTGCAACTCTTGTTAGATTCTGAGCGCCATCCAGGTTGGGCTGGACCCTGCTTATTAATGTGCCTACAGAGTAGTAAGTGCTCTGAAGTAGTCAGTGAAAGGTAGACATGGTCCTTGTTTGCATTTTTTCATCATCTAGTGGGGAAGACTTGCTTAAGTCAACTGCAGTGCCAGTTAGAGTGCAACAACTGCATCCATCCATCAACTCATACATCTGTCCATTTATCCATCCATCTGTCCATCCACTCATCCACCCATCCATCCATCCATCCATCCATCCATTCACCCACCCATCCATCCATTATTCATCCACCCACCCATCCATCTATCCACCCATCCACCCACCCATCCATCCACCCACCCATCCACCCATCCATCCATCCATCCATCCATCCATCCCTCATCCCCAGACCTTTATGCCCCTGCGTGCCTGGAGGAGGTGCTGGAGGCTTTAGGAATGAGAGCAAACGGAGGTACAGGATCTGGAGGCACATTTTATCTAGGTAAGCTCTGGGACAGTTTGCTTCATTATTCACACCCCCTTTCCAGAAGCCGTTTGTTCTGTCCACAGTGGGGGCCAAACTAGAAAGTCTCCTTGGTGAATGAAGAGCATTCGCTGTTGCCTGAAAGGAGCCCCCAAGCTTGGCTGCTTAAAACAACAGCCACCCTTTATTTGCTCATGACTCGGCTCCGGCCTGGGCTCAGCTGGGCGCTGTCTCAGCTCCATATGGCACTGGCTGCACTCACCTGTGGGTTTGGGGCTAGAAGAGTCACATGATTCCCCTTATGTATGGCGCCTCAGGTGCATGATGGGAGAGCTGGGTCTGGCTGGTCCTCCTGTCCTCGTGGAACATTATACTTAATGAGTCGGATTGATTTTTATTAAATTCTAATCACCTCCACTCCATGGAGATTTGCAAGCATCATTTGGCAAAGTTGCAGGAATTAATAAGTAGAAACCACTTAAAAATTAATGATGCTTTTTTTACATTTGCCATCCGTCATTTTACATAACTTACTAGACACTGTAATAGCTTGCTTAGGATTTATAACTTGACTTGTTTCAAGTGACATATCACATTCCTTTGCTGCTATATAGTTTCTTTTACTTATCTTTATATGATAAATTTCTTTTATTGATTCTTAAATTGATTTAACAGAAACACTTATTTCTTGTAAAGCCACAAAAGTATAGATATCATTATTAGAATATTGTTTATTAGGGCTAATTCTCTAAATTCTTTTTCAATTTTCAAAATATTTACTCCAATTTTATGAGTTACGTTGAAGTATACATTTCTAAATTTGAAAGGTTTTATTCTTTCAAATGCATTATTGTGTGAAACTGATCTTTGGATTGGTTTTCTCAATGGGAATTATAATTTTTATTGAACCAAGAACTTTTGACAGAACATGATTGCTACTATGATGACTATCTGTCTTTTAACAATTCTGAGCACCATTTGCACACCATATTTACATTTCTAGCACCAATGAGGCACTCATATCTTTTGTTAAAATAATCAAATTATTTTGTATTGAAGAAATAAAAGCATTGTATGATTTTGTATGATTCTTGTACAGTGCAAAAGATGTTCACACTATTTGGACTTTGCACAGTAACAGAAACTACTCTAAGTTTCTTTTCATTATTAATACTAGAGGCCTGGTGCATGAATCTGTGCACTGGTGGGGTCTGGCCAGCCTGCCCCAATGGGGGCCAATCGGGGTGGGCCAATGGGGGGATGGGGAAAGGGGACACGGGAGGTTGGCCTGCCGGGCCCCGTTTCTGATCGAGCTGGTTTGCTAAGTATATAGCCGATCTCGACCTAGAGTCAATTAAATGCTAACCTGTAGACCGCTATGTCAGTAGCCAGTGAATTTGCTCTAGGGTCTCTGCTTCCCAAGGAGAGGGTTCGAGTTTCCAAAAGCTGTCTTTTTTATTTATTTATTTATTTATTTATTTATTTATTTATTTATTTATTTATTTATTTATTTAAATATACTTTATTGAGCTTTTACAGAGAGGAAGAGAGAGGGATAGAAAGCTAGAAATATCGATAAGCTGCCTCCTGCACACCCCCCATTGGGGATGCGCCCGCAACCAAGGCGCATGCCCTTGACTGGAATCGAACCTGGGACCCTTCAGCCCCCAGGCCTATGCTCTATCCACTGAGCCACACCGGTTTCGGCCCAGGGAGGATCTTGCAGGGGCCGGGAGGGGCGCTGAGCACGAAGAGCAATCACAGTTTGGGAGAACCAGGCCGAGCTTTGCCCTCCTGCACCCCCAACCCACACAAGACCAGCCCCCTCCGCCCCCACACCTCCTACCCGGGCGAGACGCCGGCGAGGACAGGGAGGGGCGGCTGACGCCTTTGGGTGCGAGGTGTGCGCATCCCCTTCCGCAGCCGCCCACCTCCTCCCGGCGGCGCACGTGTTCAAAAAGTCCCCTCCCCTCCCCTCCCCTCCCCTCCCCTCCCCTCCCCTCCCCTCCCCTCCCCGTCCCGCCGGCGTGCGGGGTCCGGGCGCTGCTGGCCTCGGTGTCCCCCGCGCACATCTGGGCTGTGGCCGCGGGGGGCGGGGGACCCCGCGCTGAGCGCCCCGCCGCCGCCGCCCACCCCCCGGCCCCCGCGCCGCAGTCTCCGCCCGCGGGGAGGGAGGGGCGCCGCGGGGAGGGAGGGGGGACCCGGCGCGCAGCTTCCGAGCTCGGCGGCTGGGGCGGCGGCAGCAGCAGGTGGACCGGCGGCGGCGGGCAGTCCTCGTCCTTGAGATCCCGCCCCGCAGCCGCCGGGCGGGGAGGGCCCGCGGGGCTGGAGCCCGTGCCGCCCCCGCCCCAGTCCGGCCCCCTAGTTTCGGGGAACTTGGGGGACCGAGGCCGGCGGGCAGCAGCCGGGGTCCCGGGGGCGCGCAGCAGCCCCGGCAGCGGCGATCGGCGCTCGGGTCCCAGGGGCGCCCGGAGGAGCTGCTCTTTGGGGAAAGCCGTGCGGGCCCCGGGTTCGGGGTTCGGGAGGAGCCGGAGCGCGCCCGCCCCCGCACCTGGACGCGGGAGGGAGGGTCCTGAGCGGCGCTCGCACCCCCTCCGGCCCCTCCGGCCCCGGAGCGGACCGCCCCGGACTCTGCCCGGCGCCCGGAGCCCGCTCCGCCCTCGCACCCCGGCTTCTGAAACCCGGGCACAGTTCCCGCCAACGGACGCCCGGGGCACCCGGCTGGCCTCCGGGGTGGCCGCCGGCGGCGCCTGTGGCATCGCTGAGCTGGAGTCCCCGCCGCCCAGCCGCCGGCCCGCAGGACCGTCCCGGTCCGGTCCGGAGGGAGCGCGGCCCCGGAGGGGGCCCCCGGCCTGCTAGGGGCACCGCTGGCTCCCGGCCGCCGGCCATGGCCTTCACGTTCGCCGCTTTCTGCTACATGCTCTCCCTGGTGCTGTGCGCCGCGCTCATCTTCTTCGCCATCTGGCACGTGAGTAACGGGCGGCAGCGGCTCCTAACTCTTCTCTTTTCGCCCCAACACGCACCCCTGTCCACCCCCTGCCCCAGCTCCTCCAGAATGCCATCTCACTGCCTCGGCATGGCGAGTGTGGGCGGCCTGGGAGGCAGCATGGAGCATCTGCAGGGTGGACCCTCGGTGGCCCCCTGTCCCGGTGGCGCGGGACAGTTGGGGGCATCCCAGGGAGGCGGGGGGGGGGGCTCAGGCTCGTCCTCTCCCCCGTGACCTGGCCGCTGGCAGGGGCGTCAGGACCGCTGGTTCCCGGGCAAGGCACCCTTGCCAGGGCCTGGCCAACATCTGGGGCCCCAGGAGTGGTGTTGACAGCCGCCCCCTACTTCCCCTGCCCCCTCCCTCCCTCCTGCCCGCAGGAGAAGCTCGGCAGTTGGGCCCGCAATTAGTCAAGTAACTATAACAACTAAACATTTAAAATGTCAGCATCTGGCTGCGGTGGGCTGCGTTTAGACATAATTGGAGACAAAGTGGAGAGACTTAAGGCAGAGCCTGGTAAGAAAGTAGCGAGGCTGGGAGGGGGCGCCGGGGAGGGGCGAGGACCACCAGGTCATGGGGGTTGATGTGGCCGAAGAGAAAAGGGAGGACGTGAGGACGTGGGGACGCGGGGGCAGGGATGAGTGAGGTGCAGGAAAGTCAGGCAGAGAGAGGCCAAGAGGGAAAGTACCCTCCTTTGCTCTCCGGGGGGCCTGAGGCAGCCAACTTCTGGCCTGAAGGTTCCTCCTCTCCCCTCCTCCCCACACACACGTGGCAGAGCATGGCGGGCAGCATCCTTAGTGGGGACCAGCTTTCCTGCCATCCTCCCAGGGGGCTCCCCCGTTGAGGGTCGCTGTTCCGGGGACACAGATGTGCTGTGGGGACGGGAAACGGGCTGCTTCTGAACACAACCAGCAAGAGAGCGGAGACCCGGGCAAAGGAGCGCCAGTCCTCTCACCAAAGTCCACAGACCCCCCTCCTTTCTCCCAGGCGGCTGACGCTCTCTGCCTCCCCATCGGAGAGCTGGGGGCCAGGCTGGCTAAGGGCAGGCGATGTAGAGGGAGCCCCCACAGGGTGTAGTTTCCTGCCACTCACAGCCTTGCCCTGCCCTGCCCTGCCCAGCAAGTCCGGGCCCAGGGGAAAGTTCCCGGGTGGGTGAGACGCAGCGTTAAGCACAATTGGTTTCAAATGGAACTGAGCAGCCGGAGCATCTGTTCGATGGAGGAGACGGGGCCCCGGGGAGGGGAAAGGCCCTCTAACGTGAGAAGGTGGGCCTGGCTGACCTCCAAGCTTCCCCTTATGTCTAAGGTGGCAGAAGCCCGTGAGCCGGTCGAGTTAGAAATCGGAGGGTGAGAGAGGAATCGTCAGACACAGGAATTGCCTAGAGGATCAAACATCCTTGGCGGGAGAATTCGTGGGGTTCTGCCCCCTCTCTTTCTGGCCCTGGAATTCTGGGTCTCATCTCTGGTGGGGAATCGAGCCTCACAGCTGCTGACAGATGTTAAGGAAAGAACAGGGGCGCAGGACAGATCATGTCATTCCAAGAAGCTTCCTCTGCCTCTTTGGATTTGGCAGGTTACCTGCATTCCGGGGGGTTAGCCATAGCACCCCCGTTCTCCAGAATAACTTCCCTGGCCATTTCTTAGTGGGTTTGCCTTGGCCAGAGGCGGGCAGGGATCAGAGAGTTCCATCAAGCTGTCAGGCACGGGGTTCTCTGAACTGGCCCCTGGAGCAGGGCGGATAACCAGAAGGAATCATTTCCTCTCACTCAGGTGAGGTGGGGGAGGCAGATGATAGATAATTCGATAGCAAGTTGATTAGACGGACTGCCTGTGCCATGGCGACTAAGAGGCATCTGGACAAAACCGGGCACGGCACTGATCCCACGTTGGCCCCTGCTCTCCAGGTCTCCAGCGTTCGCCCCTGGTCCGGGGGCAGCCCAATGGTCAGAACTCGAGGCTGGGTCAGGTCCCGATACCCAGTGGAGGTGGCAAGATTCCAGTGACTTAAGAATAAAGAGAATCTGTGAATCCAAATGCCAGGGACGGTCCCCAAGTCTCAGTCCATGGATATTCCTTGATGCGATGAGCCATATTGGTGGCTTAGCATGTGTTGACGCCCCAAACAAGGAATCGGGCACTTAACTACATCCCCCTCCCATGCCTAAGCTGCAAGATGAGGATGGCACATTCCTATTGGGAGGGAGGGGTCATAGTAGTGGCTGCTGGGCATTGAGTGTCTGCAGTGGGTGAGCTCCAGGCTCTAAGAACCTCTCAGAAGCCCTGGCCGGTGTGGTTCAATGGATAGAGCGTCGGCCTGCAGACTGAAGGGTCCCGGGTTTGATTCTGGTCAAGGGCATGTACCTTGGTTTTGTGCACATCCCCAGTAGGAGGTGTGCAGGAGGCAGGTGATGGGTGTCTCACTCTCATTGATGTTCCTAGCTCTCTGTCCCTCTCCCTTCCTCTCTGTGGGGAATCAATGGAATATATATATATATTTTAAAAAGAACCTCTCAGATGGACCTCCCACTGTTAACCTCTCTCTGCTTCCCATGAGGGGCCGGGAGCAAAGATGGATAGGGCCAGGGCCAGCCGTAAGCATAACATCTTTTTCAGGGCTTGTTGTTTACTTTGCACATTTATCTTCATTTGTTTTCAAATGAAAATATCTCAGTGTGCCAATTAATCTCTTTTCTATCAGCCTCTATCTTTGAGTGCATGTGTCTCACATTTCAAAGGTGCAGCATAAATCTGAGTTGGGGTGTGTGTGTGTGTGTGTGTGTGTGTGTGTGTGTGTGTTTGCATACCTTCAGGCACATGGCCTTTTATTGTCCAGGCAGCTCTTTAGTCCTCACAACTGGCCTTTTACAGGTGAGGACACTGTGGACCAGAGAGGTTCTGACACTTGCCCCAGGTTGCACAGTGATTCCACAGGTGTGTGTGGGAGCAGGAATGGAAGCAGAGTTTGAGACTCTTATGTCTATCTCCTTTCTCTAAGTCTAGTAAGCTGTCATTGGGCATGTAATTTCGATCATAGTGGGTAATGTCTTCATCTAAAGAATATAAACTTTTCTCCGAATAAATAAAATACTTGGAGTTGAGACAATAAGAAGAGGATACTAAAACACACTCATGTCCTTTTTTTTTTTTTTTTTTTTTTTAAGAGGAAATTCGATTTCATGTTCTCAAAATTACTTTTTTCTGCTCATACAAGGATATAGGTTCGTTGCTCCAAAAAGCTGGAAACACAGGGACATGTAATGGAACAAAATCACCACTCATCTTATCATCCAGACAGGATCTGGGTGCCTTTTCTCCCAGTCATTGTGCATGTGTGCGCTTCTGAAAATTGCGGGCGGGTGTTTGGAAGAAAAAAACACACGTTCTAATGGTTTTCAGATGTGAAGTGGGGTCTGTTTTCAGGCAATACGAAGAAAGTGTTTGCTGGGAAGAGCACGCAGCCCAGCGTGGTGAAGCCTGTTTGCAGGCTGTTCATAGGCTCCCAGATGAAACCAGTCTTTGCAAAGATGCAGGACCAGTTACCCCAGGTCTTTAACTTTTTAAGCTTTATATATATATATATATATATATATATATATATATATATATAAAATCATATTTTTAAAAACATATTTTATTGCTTTTTTACAGAGAGGGAGAAGGGAGAAGGATAGAAAGCTAGAAACATCCATGAGAGAGAAACATCGATCAGCTGCCTCCTGCACACCCCCCACCGGGGATGTGCCTGCAGCCAAGGTACATGCCCTTGACCCGAATCGAACCTGGGACCCTTCAGTCTGCAGACCTACGCTCTAGCCACTGAGCCACACCGGTTTCGGCTAGAATCACATTTTAAAACTCCAAATAAAACAGCTCCCAGCAGCATGTCTCTGGATCCTCAGCAGCACTTGCTAGGGGAGAGGTTTAATGGGTCCCCACGGATGCTAACAAGTCCGCGTTTACTGAGCGGCCGTGCCACTGGGCGGAAGGTCTGAGCCCCCCAGCCAGCCCCCTCTCACAGACACAGCCACTGGGAACTGAGTAAACGGCCCCGTTTCTCTGATTATCCATCTGGAAGCAAAACGTGGGTTTTTGGGAAATGGTAGGATGCCTGGGGTTGACAGTAGCCTGTCTGCCTGCCTTCCTCCCACTTACCCCCCTCCCTTCCTTCCTCCCACTCTTCCTTCCTTCGTTAATCCTCACCTAAGGGTATTTTTTTTCCCATTCATTTTTCAAAAATATGTTTTTATTGATTCCAGAGAGGAAGGGAGAAGGAGAGAGAGAAAGAGAAACATCGATGATGAGAGAGAATCATGGATCGGCTGCCTCCAGCGCGCCCCACACTGGGATTGAGCCCCGTGGTATCTCCCCGCCTCTGCCACCCCCCTCTCAGAGCCCTAACTCCACCACTGGGCCGCATTGCCTCCTGGATGGGCGGATGTATGCCTCTTTCCCCGGGGAATCTGAATTCTAAATCCCACACCTTCGCACGCCGCCTGGCTCCAGCCTCAGCACTGTGGCCTCAGCTCCCTCCTGCCCGTGGCACACGCATGGGGAAGCCCGTGTGGCTCCTTGGCCTCGGGCGCCCGTGACCTCATACACAGCCTCCGAGGGGAGCAGAAGTGATGGGAGACAGGCCTCCGCGCCGCCCCCCCCCCCAGGGCCCGCACCCAGAATGCGGGGGGACAGGAGCCCGTGTGGAGCCGGGGGCCGGGGGCCGAGGGCTCTCTGACGGGAGCAGCCGGAGTGAAACCAGCTCTTTGGCAGGTGCCCTCGGCTTTCGAACCCAGAACCTCCCAGGCCCTCCCCCCCGGCCCCCTTAGGACGGTGCTCCAACCAGCCGAGCCACGGGCCAGGGTTGTGTTTGTGCCCCCGGCTGCGAGCTGCTGGAGCTTCCAGAGGAAGCAGGCGGCTCCCTGGGAGACCATGGGGACGGTGACTTTATCTTCTCGTTTCTTTAAACGGCCTTGAGTCACCAAAATGGCTTAA